AATTTATTCCGCCACTGTGACCTTATGACTTTTTTATTTCAACATATTACTCGAAATATTCGAAATCCAGGTCATTTTTTTAAAAAGTCTTTTTAAAAAAGCTTGACGACCCGTTTTTTTATCAAATGTCCATGAAATTTAGTTTTGGCGATGGCTTGGACCTTTCAAATGATCTATGTTGGGTTTTATTAAGAGAATTACATCTTTTTCAATAACTTTGAGGCCAAATTTCACTATTTTTCGATTCTTCGAAGCCTTAGTATGAAGTTGAAAAATTTATGGTTTTTGGGTAAAGTTAAAATCAGATTGCGACGCCTTTGTCCATTTAAGGTCATAACTTGGCAATTTTGGTCAAAATTAATTCATTTTTGCACAAAATGTGCTTGAGAAGTGTACCTTTATTTCAACGGTTAAATGGTGCCTGTAAGTCTAGTCTAACTGACGCAATTCAATTCTAAAAAATTAGTGACAAACTTTATCGGTCATACCTTACACAAATTGACACAAAGACTGCGAGCACAAGTGGGCAAAAACGGGTAAAAATGAATTTATTTCAAACTTAGATTGTGTTGGTTTGCGGGGAGGCAAAAACTGAGTCCGTCCGTGCGATTAAAAAGTTTCTCTGACCGACGATTTTCGAGAAAAGCGAGTTCGAAGTTGAAACGTTGATAGCACAAATGGATGGCTTTTGCATGTCTTTACAAACCAACACAATCGCAATTTGAAAAGAATTGATTTTTACCCGTTTTTGCCCATTTGTCTTGCAGTCTTTGTGTCAATTTGTGCATTAATGTAACAATTGTGTTGTTTGTGTCTTTTTAGTAACAAACCATATCAAAGTGTCTCATAAGGCAAGTATTTAACTGTACTTACATTAGCTCCAGTCGTTAGTACTCTTGGTAACATTGTTAAAGATTGACTGAGAATATTGAAAAGTGTCAAAGACACAAAAGCCTTGTTTGCGTCCAAAACATTTGCAGGATCGGATAATACGAATGTGGCAAAACTTATTAAAGCAACCTAAGAAAAGATGGCAATAATATTGAGTATTGAGTTGAAAGTGGAATCAAATTTTTCATAAACTTACAAAGAAAGGTGCACTGAAGAAAAGGAAACTTGTACAAGCCCCGAAAATGGCCTGTGTTTTAAGAGCTTTTATTTCAGCTGCTCGAGCATCTTTGATTAGATCACCAAAAGCCAATTCCCATGCATACAATTTAAGAACCTTCATTCCGTTTAGAATCTCATTCATAGTTTTGGTTCGTCTATCCTTTTGTTTCATCACATTTCGCTGAATGTTTTTCATCTTAACTGCAACCCAACCATTGAAGGGAATCAAGAGAAGCATGAAAATAAGTCCACCAACAGATGAGACTCCAATCTGGTCCCAGAGTAGTTTCAAAGACATCCCCAGTTGAATAGGAAATGAGAGTAAAAAGTTGTACTGATTGATGAACATGAACACTCGATTGGTATCAACACCCATTAAATTGACAATCTCCCCGGTAGTAAATGCTTTCCGTCCTTCACTTGATAATTTCAAGCTCTGTTGGATTAAAGGATAATGGTTAGTAAAGGTAAGAACCAGATGCCGTGAAACAAACCTTTTGATAAATGGTTCCAACCATAGCTGACTTCATTCGTAAACCCAAAACGGAGATCCAAAACTCATACTGTCCATCAATCAGCGATTGCAACAAGGAGAAGGCCAACATTGCTAGAGCAATCATGTAACCCTGCCATTGAGGGTCAGAGCTCTTAACAAAGGACAATAATTTATCCAACAGAGATGGATTGGCAAAGGTCAAAAATGATGAGATAAACTTGAGTGTTGAACAAGCAAGTAAATTGACCCAAAATCCTCTAATTAAAGTTTTAAGAATGTCAAACTTGGGATTGTACAAGATTGAATAGTTGGTTAAACCCTTTTCACCCCTTTTTTCGGGGTTTTCCTTGATCGGAACACAATCTTTGGAGGAATTTAAATATTGGCGAAATCGGATAAAAACATTGCGAGATCGATTATCTTCTGGTAAATGCCAAACATCTTCTAATGTTAGAGCCTTTTTGTATCCCAAGTAAGCCATTGAATCATACCACGAGAAAACCATTTGTGAGGCAAATGAAGCTCTTGTGTATGGCGAAATTTTCTGGTTCAAAAGCAAGAAAACATGTCAATAACACTGAAAGCGAACGATACACATTTCAATCGTTGATGTGTTCAATTAGTTAATCTTACCTTCGAATCTTCTGCAAAGTGTTTCTTTGTAGTATCGGAGAAGCATAATGCAAGTAAATAACAGATCGTGGCTGGAGTTTCAATTGATTGGCAAACCAAAGTAAATCTATCAACCGACCAAAGCTTGTCATACTGAAATGAAGAGTTTATGCATTTAATTTTAGACCTTTAATTGTTGCATTTTGTGAGCATTTCTTACTGGATTTTGAAGAGTAACTACTGTTGTCCAGAAACTCATAAGTGATTGAAATGTCATGACCAACCAAAAAAGAAATATTATTCCTGAAGTGTGAACGCCTTTACGAAGATAGACGGTCTGAAGGGTCAAAACCAACATCTAAAATATACAAAGTGAGGTTAGAAGGGAATGCAAACTTGACTTAAATCTGCAACTCACATAGGATAAGCCCTTGATCAATGGAGTTTGGTAATCTAATGAATTAATTTCAAAGCCATTGGCAGCAGAAACAATTTGCTCAGCCAATTCCGCTATATTAACCGCAACCAAGACCAAGATAAGAAGCTAGAAGAAAGAAAACAATTTCATGAGTATTTCTGAATCCAAGGAAAACTAACGGCTTAGCTTTTTTGTTCATTAACCATTTAAGATGCAAAATTTTCTTGATTATATATTGGGTCAAGGCTGAAATGAAGCTGTCTAGATAAATAGTCAATTTTACAAGTGAATATCTCAACTAAAGCAATAATAGTTGGTGAATCTTTATTACATATTCAGTTATTTACGCTCTGTGCTTTTATTGCTGCAAAAGTTTTCAACTCGCTAAGGATAATTAGCTACAATTAAGCCTGACAAGTGTTTATCTAATAGATGAGCGTGTTTCCAGCAATTTGTTAATCGTTCACATAAACAAGTTCTGTTTCTCGGGAAATTCTCAGTTCAAGTTTGATAAAATGGCGATTAAATCTTGAACTTGTGCACATCTATGCATTGACACCTATTCAAATGATTCAGGTCGAATTATTGCTAATAGACTATCACAATGATCAGACTGATCATGAAGAAAAATTCCATAACATTTCCATAATAAGTAAAAAATATCTCATCACAAAGTCATCGAGGTTTTGCTTCATGAATTGGATCTATTTGCATTGATTGTAAGCTCAAGTGTTTAAAGTAGATGATACAAATGGACCCAGGCTTACAGCTAATTATCAAAAGATCCAATCCATGAAGACTTACCTAAGGTGGTAATGAGAAGAGGTAAACAAATGCAAAAATAAAGGGAAATAAGAAAGGTTTAGATCCAGAAAAGCAAATTTCATCTCCATCATCAATTTAGGTTTTCTGGTTCAAGGGTTTCAATGAAAAAATGCCAACTTTTGGATCAAACGGAAAAAGTGAAGAGCCTATGTTAAGGGCTTGCAATTGTAAACTTTCAGCTACATTGGACAAGACTATGGATTGAGATCCTCTAAAAAAGAAGGTAAAAAATTATTTTTGGGTTAAAGTATAAAAACATTTTGGTACTCAACCATTTTGACGATAATAAGCCAAGTCCAAGGCGTCTTTGTGGGCTCCAAACGTAAATGTAAACACAATGAGATCAGTCCAAAAATCCACAGGAATAAACATGGTGGCCAGGTTAGAGCAGTTGAAATGAAACAGGGTGTTAAACAGGGCTTGTAAGTGTTCCAGGTTATGTTGTCATCCTGTGAAGAAGAGTGAAATTAGTCCATTTTTGTCTAACCATTCTTGTATGTTCAATGCTTACCCAAAATGGATGGCCACAATAGTCGTCCATAAAAGTCACTAATTTAGACATAATTTAACTGTAATGTTGATAGACTTGACAATTGACTTGGTTCAAGTTAACCACATGAATGGCGTTTCATCAACACCGATAATACCTTTTCAACTAGTCTTTTAATCATGATTACTGAAAATGATAATATTTATTTTTTTACCTTAAAAAATGCTGGTCGACTAATCATTAGTTTGCTTTATTATTCATACTCAAGTGTTACTTGACTTTATCTTCGTTGTTAAAATTTAATTACTCCAACTGCTGAGATACAGAAGAACTAATTAAACATTTTTATGTATATTTTTAGGTAAATTTTACAACAAATGTAGCAAAGATTCATTAAACTTTATTGCTTAAAAGTTGTAAAACTCATTTTCCTAAGAAACTTGAGAAGTACTTGCCTTGACTTACAGTCCATTTGACATTACAATTATCCTAATTTGATTAAAGAAATACGTCATCAAGTCCCCGCAGAGATCATTCAAGACAATCGAAAATCTTTTAATTGCTACTGTTCGAATAAAGGCAATTTCGATTAATGATTGCAATGTGAAAACATAAACAGTGTTAAATATGTACAATACAATACACTAGCGCTTTTGGGATAATTGATGATATATTATCATTTGATATACAATCAAATTTCGCAAATGTTATACTCACTTAGTTTTTGTGGACCGACTAGCTTGCTACAGTTATGGCTTGACCGCGATAGCTTGATGCACCATCAACTTTCTTGCAATTTAGGTGTTTTACCTGCACGAGACGCAGGACTCTGACCAGTCTAGCTGGGAATCCAATGGGGAAGGGTGGCTTGGGTAGTCGATTCATTGTATTAGAGGAACGATTTTGTTGACAATTTGTTTACTTTTTTGGGTACAGATTGTTACATTTTTAGTTAGACTGTATTATTTGGCATGAGAAAGTCAAAAGCAATTTATTTATGTCTTTTATTGTTGAATCGTTTTAGTTTTTATTTCTTTTATTTTCTGTTCAAGTGTTTTTGGTTTTCCTCTGCGCCGCTGTAATTGATTGTGTGATTGATCAATTGTGATTCCAGTCTTGTTACGAATACCTCTTTTGATTTAGACATGAAGTTACCAATCAATCAAAAATGCTTCTTCGCCATTGACTATTGTTAAATCTGAAGCTAATAATGAATTTACTTCTAAAAAAGTGACCTAACTCTCCAAATACTGATTTGACCTCTTCTGCATCCATTGCTGGACGATTTCCTGAGTTAAACCACGTAGCCACCTCTTAACCAACAAATTAACAGATCAATGGCTCAAATTTATTGCAGAATCTTCCAAGGATTCGCTAATCATTTAGTTATCTGGATAGTTTTCATAAACTTTCATATCTCTTGAAACTTTCTACTCGTGAAACGTGATTTTATTTTATTGCTGCAGTCACCTTAATTGCGTCTAATGTCAAGCGTAGTTTTAGCAAACAAATATTCGCCATTCTTAGCTATTAACTGAGATTTTTAACTAACATCCACTTAGCTTAACAGTATTTTTCAAGAAATTTTCATAAATATCAATCGTTTATTTTGTTCGCTGCTCTTCTCAATACAAATCGCTTTTACACCAGACTACCAGACCAGAGTACTTTCAAACCAGACAAGTTGACATCTCAAGCTCAGACAAGTTTAAAAACAAATTAACCTAATAGATTTGACTTCATGTACATCGTACCAGAATCTAGCCAGACAATTGATTTTATATTATCAACTCCAGCAATTCAAGAGGGTAACAGTTTCTTATCTTACGACGTTTGTTTCAAGCTCAATTTCATTCAAATCTTTTCTACAATTGAATCTCTTCTCTCGATCTCATTGAATTTATTATCTCTATAGTTATGTTCACGAATTGTACTCGAGATGGAATCAGATGAAATAAAATTCAATCGAGCTTGTTTTCAATGATATAAATCTATTTGACGAAGCGGAAAACATATGACTTTCAATTTGAGAGCAATAAAAAGTATTGATAAGTTGAACAACTTATGACTGTAATACAGTTTTATTAATGCTGGTAATTGATTTCAAAATTTCCAATAGATATCAACCTTTTCATTGTTAATTGAGAGTTCCTCTTACCATTGAGAAAAATAGTTAATATTTAATAGCTGCTAATTAAAGATAACCTATCAAACAATCACGATCTCTACGAGTTGCCAGCGTAATCAACAGATCATAGACACATAAATCAGTATAAATAGACCAGTATAATGCTAATTGTGTTTCATTAGTTTCAATAGTTAATTCAAAAATTTTATTTCAACAAGTTTGCTTTCTGATTGCATCTACACTTTTATAACTTCAGCTTCAATTCAAGTTAAAGTAAAATTATAACAAAAGTTATTTTTCAGCTATTTTTCATATATAACATTTGTGCTTCCAATAAGATACAAGAAAATTGTATTTTATTAATTCGCCTTCAACTTACGTTGAAAATCAAAATAACTTTATACACCTTATTCTGAAGTCTTTATAGTATGTCCGTGCTGAAGTCTTTTAATACCAGATTTACATCTTTTGGTTCCTCCAAAACAGTGGAGCCAAATTACGACGGTTATCGTGAAGCCCTTGACCTTTACTATTTTCGTCCAGTTCATTCAATTGATCCGCTCTATTGGAAAACATAATGAGCTTCAAGGTAACAGCCATTACCTTTTGTCAAATAATTTTGACTCAGGTTGCTCTATTTGTTGTCATTTGGTCAACTTGTTACGGTATCTCACCTGTTGCTGCCCTGCCATGGAATGGAAGTGTTTTTGCCTTTATGATCTTATTCGCAATCGCATATGTAGCCGGTCAATTGTGTTCGCTAATTCGTGTTCCACCGTTAGTTGGCATGCTTATAGCTGGTATAATTTTGTCCAATCTAACCCAGATCCCGTTAGATCCGGAAACATCTTCCCTTGCTCGTGATCTGGCTTTAGGTGTTATCTTATTACGAGCGGGTACATCACTCGATCCCGGTGCCTTAAAGAAGCTTTCTCTGGTTTGCTTGAGATTGGCATTCACTCCTTGTATTGTTGAAACGATAGTTTTGGCTGTTACCACTCACTTGTTGCTACACATTCCCTTTCTTTGGTGTATGGTTCTTGGTTTTGTTTGCGTTGCAACTTCACCTGCCGTTATTGTTCCAGCAATGATCAACATCCAAGATTTAGGATATGGAATTGATAAAGGTATTCCAACCTTGATTATGGGAGGATCGTCTGTCGATGATATTATGGCCATCACTTGTTTTCAAATATTTTTAAGTTTGGTCATGTCAACATCAGGTTCCATTTTATCCACTCTTCTTGGTCCCATTGAAGCAGTTGGAGGATTGGCACTAGGAACTGCTCTTGGCCTTTTATTTTGGATTTTACCACCAAAATGTGATCCAGATGATCTTGAATCACGAGCGTTAGGCAGCAAAATAAGGTTTGCGTTTCTTTTCTTCACTGGAATAAGCTTCATCATTACAACCAAAGCATTGGGATGCGAATCAATGGGTCCATTGGGTGTATTATCAATGAGCTTTGTTGCATCTCTTAGATGGCGTTCAGAAGGTTATTTAGATAACATGAACTCTAGTTTACGAGATGTTTGGTTTTTCTGTGAAATCTTTTTGTTCAGTTTAATTGGTTACGAAGTTAAATTCACTTCTCTTGAGTCAACCACAGTTTTATGGTCCCTAGTCTGCCTAGTAATTGGATCAATTGCACGGACAATAGTTTCATTTTTTATTGTTGCTGGAGCTGGTCTTTCGGTTAAGGAGCGTCTATTTATCGCTATGGCCTGGCTACCTAAAGGAACTGTTCAAGCAGCCATCGGTTCCATTCCTCTAGAGATGGCGAGAAGGAAAAATGATGAAACTATGATTGGCTATGGTTTGGTCATCTTAACTTATGCCGTTTTATCCATAATATTATCTGCACCTTTAGGAGCTTTCTTGATGAGCTTTTTTGGCCCTAAACTTTTGCAAAAATCAACTAAGAATCAAACTGAAGGTTCATTGGAAGCAAATGTTAGCAAACATCCCGTTTGATCATGATTGATCATTACTTTCGAAACTGTTATTAAGTTTTGACTCAGATTTTTGTTAATAGCAATAAAATAATGGGAAATATTAATGGGAAATTAGCATGTTATATAATTACATTTTGAAGCTTAGTTTGGCTGTATCTTCAGATATTTGATTCTATTTTTTCGAATTCGATAATTTGGGAATTTTGATAATTTTTTCGACCTTGTGTAATGTAAAAGTTGATAATATTCATATCTTAATAAACTGTCACAATTTCGCATCTTTAATTATAATGATATGTTTACATTGGAGTTATTAGATAATCTGGTGAAACAAAAGAACTGAGAACACAAAAAATGTACTTGGTATTTGGGTTAAACCCAAACTCGTTAGCGAGATCCTCCTCTTATAATAAACAAGTCTTTCGTCCAGTGATATTTTTAAATCATAAATGCGTTTTCTAGTATCATAATCTTCAGAAAACCCTTTGACTACGATTGGAATGGACCAAGTGAATATTCCCCCAGACCAAGAATGATTATACAAAATTTGTGACTGAATTGGTGCCAATCCAACATATTTAATTTGTAATTCAGCAAATATCGTTGGACTTTGTAAAGTCCAACCAAAAGTTAATTGACTCGCATCTGAGGCATTAAGCACCAGAAGTACAAAATTATCCGTAGAGTAGGAATCCTTGATCAATTGAAGGATAAATTCATTTGAGTTGTCTGTTTGTCTCACAAATAATTGAACCTTGTCATTACCATAAACATGGTTACAACACTTTAAAAAATTCAAATGATAAATTGGTAGATCTTTAGTGTTTTTGGAAACCAAAAAAAAGATATCACCATTGGCTAATAATATTTTATGATCCGAGTGAATTTCCAAATCCAATGAGTTGCCATCTGATTTTTTCGGCCAAAAATACGATGATCTGCACATTGTCCAGAAACAGTATATGGGGTGTTGAGAAAGTTTATGCAAGGGGAAAAAATCCCTCAACTGCGTATAAACAGAAAATTAAATTTTTTCCCCCAAAGTTGTGCATAAACTTTCTCAACACCCCATAAAGTGTTGTCTCGATACAAAGATGAACCTGCAGTATGTTGGACAAATGAATGTGTGTAATATGAAGCAGTTTCACCTGACGAGTTCCGTTCACATGAATACGTATTGATCCCAGGATTTCCATCAATTACAACGGCAACATGCTGATATTCATTTTCTTTGATGTTGTATCCAGTAAGAATTATCGAGAAATAGTTGATTCCATCTTCTTGTTTGGCAGTGAAAGTAACACTTGCTAAATTTTGGTAATTATAAGTTTTGGTTAAACAAGAACCATTACATGTATCTTTGGATTGATAACTGTTTGTAATTAAATGAGCAATAAGGAATAGTATTAGAACAAATGAAGAAATCATTTTACCTCAAAGTTGCCAATTGAACAATAAAAATGCGAATGAAAGGACGAAATTGAATAAAGGAAAGTTATCCTGTTTGATGAAATCAATAGACGTTTAAGATCAATTTAATAATGCATCAACCATGTGTTTCAATAGCAACTAATCGAGCCATTTACATGGTGTTGTGCATTTTACTGATGAACTTTGTTCTCGAAAGTAATTGATTACTGACTGACGAAATTTAACAATAGCTTGTGATACATCAAACAAATTAAATCAAAGATAAAACGTTACTGATTTTTAACATCAGAGGATTGTCAAGTTGTTGACTATTTCGTTTAAGCATAACTCATTAATTCAACATTTACACATTTAATATAATAATAATGTAATCTTGTACTCTATTCAACAAATGATTGGTGATAAAATTAACCTAAAAAGCGTATAAATATAGCGTTGACTCCATCCAGACCTTTATCTATTAAACTACTTCGGCAGATTTTTAGTGGAAATATACACAGGTGTACAATCAAACCTCGCAAAGGTTATACTCACTTAGTTTTTGTGGACCGACTAGCTTGCTCAGTCATGGCTTGACCGCGATAGCTTGATGCACCATCAACTTTCTTGCAATTTAGGTGTTTTACCTGCACGAGACGCTGGACTCTGACCAGTCTAGCTGGGAATCCACCGGGAAGGGTGGCTTGGGTAGTCGATTCATTGTATTAGAGGAACGATTTCGTTGACAATTTGTTTACTTTTTTTAGGTACAGATTGTTACATTTTTAGTTAGATTGTATTTTTTGGCATGATGAAGTCAAGAAATTCATTTATGTCTTTTATTGTTGAATCGTTTTAGTTTTTATTTCTTTTATTTTCTGTTCAAGTGTTTTTGGTTTTCCTCTGCGCCGCTGTAATTGATTGTGTGATTGATCAATTGTGATTCCAGTTTTGTTACTAATAACTCTTTCGATTAAGACATGAAGCTACCAATGAATCAAAAATGCTTCTTCGCCATTGACTAGTGTTTTGTCTGAAGCTAATAATGAATCTAATTCTAAAAAAGTGACCTAACTCTCAAAATACTGATTTGACCTCTTCTGCATCCATTGCTGGACGATTTCCTGAGTTAAACCACGTAGCCCTCTCTGAACCAACAAATTAACAGATCAATGGCTCAAATTTATTGCAGAATCTTCCAAGGATTCGCTAATCATTTAGTTATCTGGATAGTTTTCATAAACTTTCATATCTCTTGAAACTTTCTACTCGTGAAACGTGATTTTATTTTATTGCTGCAGTCACCTTAATTGCGTCTAATGTCAAGCGTAGTTTTAGCAAACAAATATTCGCCATTCTTAGCTATTAACTGAGATTTTTAACTAACAAATTTCCAATAGATATCAACCTTTTCATTGTTAATAGAGAGTTCCTCTTACCATCTTTAATTATAATCATATGTTTACATTGGAGTTAGTAGGTAAACAGGAGAAACAGAAAAACTGAGAATACAGAAAATGGTCTTGGTAATTGGGTAAAACCCAAACTTGTCAGAGCCATCTTCCTCTTTGAATACACAAGTCTGAAATCTAATATTATTTTCAGATCATAAACGCGTTTTCTGGTATCATAATCTTCAGTAAACCCTTTAACTACAATTGGAATGGACCAAAAGTATACTACTGAAGACCAAGAATAATTATACAAAATTTGTGACTGAATTGGTGCCAATCCAACATATTTCATTTGTAAAGTAGCATAAATCGTTGGACCTTGGACAGTCCAAACAAAAGCCAATATACTCTCGTCTGATGCATTGAAAGCTATGCTTATGAAACTCGGCATGAAGAAATTATCCTTGTTTAATTGAAGGGTAAACTAATTGGCGTTGTTTGTTTGTCTCACAAATAGCTGAACCTTGTCATTGCCATAAACATTGTTGCAGCACTTTAAAAAATTAAAATGATAAATTGGTAGATCTTTGGTGTTTTTGGAAACCAAAAAAGTGATACCACCATTGGTTAATAATATTTTATGATCCGAGTGAATCTCCAAATCCAATGAACTGCCATCAGATCTATGAATGACGGTTTTTGATAAAATCGTTTTAAAATTTTGCAACTACAATTGCATTTTACTCCGAGGACCGAAGCTATTTACATGCATATTTGTTATTAAGATTTCAATGATCTGAGGTTTTTGATAAAATTGATTTCAAATTTTTAACTTAGGTTGCATTTTGTAAAATCCTATTTTATTTTTTTTATTCATTTTGTTCGATAGTTAATCAATGAAAGTGGATCTTTTAATGTGGATTTTATACATTGTGCTCAATAATTGAGGATAATAACAATAATCAGCCGTGATGAGGATTCATTTTGTTATAATATAATAATACTTTTACACTGGAGTTAGTAGATAATCTGGTGAAACAGAAAAACTGAGAACACAAAAAATGTACTTGGTATTTGGGTTAAACCCAAACTTGTTAGAGAGATCTTCCTCTTTGAATACACAAGTCTATCGTCCATTGTTATTTTCATATCATACAAGCGTTCTCTGGTATCATAATCTTCAGAAAACCCTTTAATTACAATCGGAATCGCCCAAGTGAATATTCTCCCAGACCAAGAATAATTATTCGAAACTTGCAAATTAATTGGTGCCAATCCAATATATTTCCGTTTTAAAGTGACGAATAACGTTGCGCTTTGCACAATCCAGGTAAAAGTTAATTCACTCTCATCTGATGCTCCCAACTCCATAATCGCATAAATAGCCATAGAGGAGGAAATATTGAAAAATTGAAGGGTAAATTCATTGGAGTTGTCTGTATGTCTCACAAATAGTTGAAACTTGTCATTACCATAAGCCTCGTTACAGCACTTCAAAAAATTCAACTGATAAATTGGTAGATCTTTGGTGTTTTCGGCAACCAAAAATCTGATATCATCATCAGCTAAATACAATCGTATCTCGTGATCAGAATCAATCTCCAAATCCAATGAGCTCTCATCTGATCTTGTCGGCCAAGAAAAAAATGTTCTAGACATTGTCCAGAAACAGTATAAAGTGTTGTCTCGATACAAAGATGAACCAGTGGAAAATTGGCCAAATGAATTTGTGTAATACGAGCCAGTTTCACCTGATGTGTTCCGTTCACATGAATAAGTGTTGATCCCAGGATTGCCGTCAATGTTAACAGAAACATACTCATATTCATTTGCTTCAATGTTATTAGCATTGTTAATATATGCAGTAAGAATTATCGTGAAATAGTTTATTCCATCTTCTTGTTTCGCAGTGAATGTAACACTAGCTAAATCTTGGTAGTTATAAGTTTTGGTTAAACAGGAACCATTGCAAGTATCTTTCGATTGGTAACTGTTTGTGATTAAATACACAATTAGAAATAGTATTTGAACAAACGAAGAAATCATTTTAATTCAAGATTTTGAATTGATGCGAATCAATTGACGTTCACAATTGATTAAAAACAAATGAAAGTAACCTGTTAGATGAAACCAATAGACGTTTAAGAGCAATTTAATAATACATCAACTATGAGCTGAAATATAAATTAATCGAGCCATTTACATGTTTCTGTGCATTTTACTAATGAACTTTGTTCTCGAAAGTAATTGTTTACTTAAATGAGGAAATTTAGCAAAAAGCTTTTGATTTATCAACAAATTTGATCACTTTGATCAATTTGATATCTTGATTTTATCTCTTTAACCTATTTTAACTGTGATTGTTTTGTTTATTCTCAACATGAGTGATCCAGTTTCAAATCTTTAGGCAAACACCAACCTGCAAGTCGAGCCATCAAGCGAAAACGCTCTTAGTGCTACAGGAGCAGCTACTTCACCTGAGTCCCCTTCTGATGAAAACGCTCTTAGTGCTACAGGAGCAGCCACTTCACCCGAGTCTTCTTCTAGTGAAAACGCTCCTGTTGAAACAAATGCAGCCGCTTCTCGCGAGTCCCTTACTGCTGATGATGAGCCCGAAAGAATTTTTGTAAGTATTTTTATATGCTTTGAATACACCAATATGCGCCAAATGCGATTTAATTAACAATTTATTTGTTTACTCCATTAGGAACAAGCAGTAACATGTGATGGGAATACTTGGTATCCTTGTGTGGCAGATCATGTTACAAAAGTTGGTGGTAAATATTATTCTGCCATCCTCACAAAATATTACGAGGAAACAGCATTTGTGGACCACGGAGTGGCTAGCATGGAATACAAAAGACGTGATCCTTTAATAACCGAGTTGGTTAAAAAATCAAAAGAGATAAAAAAAACCTATTTATTGTTGTCCATATTGCCGGATGCGACCACAACTGGAAACAGTAATGCGATCAAACGCCATTGTAACTCTCGTGAGGCAGACAATGGGACAATTTACGATCCTGCTTGCTATGAAAGAAGAAAGAAAGAACCTGCCATAAATGGTGTCTGGCCTGCAGCCAAGCAAAAAGCCATTCGAATCGAATTTCAGAATAATAAATAATCAAAATTTTATCGGTGATTCAGTAAATTCAGCAATAATTGAGCAAATAATTTCAATATTTTCAATATTTTCAATATTTTCATATTAAGCAAATATTTCATTTTAATCAAAATGTAACTGATTGGTTTTAAAAAATATAACAATTATGCCTTAATTGTAAAAACTACCACAATAAATTTACATGATTGAATGAATTTTCAAGTATTTCTTTATATATTTACATTAATCTGTATGCGCCAATGGTGCGCCAATACAAGTTTGATTAAAAAGCTTTACACACAAAGTATTTATTAATCAACAATTATATAATTATATATACATTCTGTAACACAGGCCTGCGGTAACACTCTGCCGCGTGATTTCGTGGATTTATATGAGCATTCATTTCTCACTTGTTTTCTGGCTGGAACTGGCTGGGGTTTGGGGAAATCGCTTTGCCTTCTAACCTCAGGCACACCTTACGCCTGGAAAAAGCTGAATTTTGAATGGAAAATAAGGACAGGCATAAATACGCGATCCTCTTTTAGCCACATTTAATTTTTTCAATTGTCTGCCATCCTGAACGCCTGCTACCCGCTCCTTCCACGGATATTTATTATTCAGTTCTAAATTTTCCGCTGATTCATAATATTTGTCATATTTCAAGCAAGCCATATAGTGATTATCGATGATTGCATAGTGGTCGACAGTTACTGAAAAAAATGCCCTTAGTTCACCAGTACAGATAGTCACCGTTTTTTCCTGCAAACAAATGAAATATTAATCATTAATGCAAAGTATAAAGAAAATCACTTACGCTGGGAGGCTGATCAGGCATTTCAGCATCAGCATCAGTATTTTCCACAGCATTTGTAGCAGCAATCTCATTAGTATCTGTGGCACCACCAATCTCTACCAAACCATGCGTGTCTGATGAAATTTCAGAATAGCCAGGTGCTTCTGGGCTTTTTTGTATTGAGTCATCAGGTTCTGCCGAGCTTGAAGCTCCTGATGAGTCTAAAGATTTTGATTCCCCAACACCGTTTGTACTGTCATGCTGATCATCAATTTGTAGAACAGAAAGTGACAAATTATATGGAGGGTAATAAAGCCCAGTTGCGCGCCTCGATTTCATCTGTTGGCAAAAAAATGAAATCGTTAATATAGCGAAGAGGTGAATAGCGAAAAGGTGAATATAAAATATAGTAGTTACTTGTTTTTCCGGAACAGGAGTTGTTGTTTTCTCGTGAGCCCGAGTTTCCACCATATTACACAAATTGAATTAAAACAAAAGATTTGAAAATAATAAAGATGAAAAGATCATACGCAAAGAAAAACGCAAAAAGGCAATAATTCTGCATGTTAACTTTCTGCGCTGGCTACATGGTCTCTCTAGTCTGCATGTGTCACAAAACTTTGGTTGACTGGGTCATTTTGTTATAATAATACTTTTACATTGGAGTTAGTAGATAATCTAATATAACAAAAAAACTAACAACACAAAAAAAGTACAAACCAATAAGAAGTAAGTTCACTTGCATCTGATGCTGTTAAAAAACACAGCTACAACATAAGGGTTAGAAATATTGAAAAATTGAAGGGTAAATTCATTGGAGTTGTCTGTTTGTCTCACAAATAGTTGAACCTTGTCATTGCCATAAACAGTGTTACAGCACTTTAAAAAATTCAACTGATAAATTGGTAGATCTTTGGTGTTTTCGGCAACCAAAAATCGGATATCATCACTCGAGAAGGAAAAATGATGAAACTATGATTGGCTATGGTTTGGTCATCTTAACTTATGCTGTTTTATCCATAATATTATCTGCACCTTTAGGGGCTTTCTTGATGAGCTTTTTTGGCCCTAAACTGTTGCAAAAATCAACCAAAAATATAACTGAGAGTTCATTGGAAACAAATGTTAACAAACATCACAGTTAATCATCATCATTACTATTGAAACATTTTCGTTATTAAATGTTGATTCAGATTTTTGTTGATATCAATAAAATAATTATGGGAAATATTAATGGGTAATTTACATGTTATAAAATTACATTTTCAAGGTTAGTTTAGTTATACCTTCAGATAATTGGTTCTGTCTCGTTGTATCCGAGGCTATATGAATTGTGGCTCAGTCTAATCTTGTTTTATGTAAAATTCACAAAATGAATATTCTAATAAACTGCCACAAACACCTTTAATTATGATGATAAGTTTACGTTCGAGTTAGTAAATGATCTGGACGAACAAAAGGGCAGAGAACAAAAGAAATGTGCTTGGCATTTGGGTAAAACCCAAACTTGTCAGAGCCATCTTCCTCTTTGAATACACAAGTCGCAAATCTAATATTATTTTCAGATCATAAACGCGTTTTCTGGTATCATAATCTTCAGTAAGCCCTTTAACTACAATTGGAATGGACCAAAAGTATACTACTGAAGACCAAGAATAATTATACAAAATTTGTGACTGAATTGGTGCCAATCCAACATATTTCATTTGTAAAGTAGCATAAATCGTTGGACCTTGGACAGTCCAAACAAAAGCCAATATACTCTCGTCTGATGCATTGAAAGCTATGCTTATGAAACTCGGCATGAAGAAATTATCCTTGTTTAATTGAAGGGTAAACTCATTGGCGTTGTTTGTTTGTCTCACAAATAGCTGAACCTTGTCATTGCCATAAACATCGTTGCAGCACTTCAGAAAATTCAAACGATGAATTGGTAGATCTTTGGTGTTTTTGGAAACCAAAAAACTGATATCACCATTGGTTAATAATATTTTATGATTCGAGTGAATCTCCAAATCCAATGAGCTGCCATCTGATCTTTTCGGCCAAGAACTTGTCGTTCTAGACATTGTCCAGAAACAGTATAAAATGTTGTCACGATACAAAGTTGAACCTGCAGTATGTTGGACAAATGAATGTGTATAATACGAACCAGTTTCACCCGATGAGTTTCGTTCGCATGAATAAGTGTTGTTCCCAGGATCTCCGTCAATCACAACAGAAACTTGTTGATATTCATTTTCTTTGATGTTGTAGCCAGTAAGAATTATCGAGAAATAGTTGATTCCATCTTCTTGCTTGGCAGTGAATGTAACACTAGCTAAATTTTGGTAATTATAAGTTTTGGTTAAACAGGAACCATTGCAAGTATCTTTCGATTGATAACTGTTTGTAATTAAATACACAATTAGAAATAGTATTTGGAAAAACGAAGAAATCATTTTACTTCAAAGTTTCCAATTGAACAATGAAATGTAAATGAAAGGACGCTCGAAATTGATTGTAAGTAATTTATCATGTTCGATGAAATCAAAAGAAGCCTAAGATCAATTTAATGATGCATTAACCAAGTGTTACCAACTAATTGAGCCATTTACTTGTTCTTGTTCATTTGCTAATGAACTTTGTTCTCGAAAGAAAAATTGATTACAGGCTTTTGATTAATCTACAAATTTGATCAAAGATCAAGCGGTAATGATTTTTTTATTAATAATCAGGGATTTGTGAAGTTGTTGACTATAGCGTTTAAAAATAACTCATTAATATAACAATAATGTAATTTTATACTTTATTAAACAAAGGATCGGAGATAAAAGTAACTTAAATAATGTTTAAATATAGTGATTGACTCCATTTGGCACTGAATCTACTGAAATTGAGTGTTGTTGAAGATTTTTTGGTGTAAATTTAAGTACTCTGTTGCATATGAATTTGAAATCTATGTGATTTGTGGTCAAATTATCTAAAAGTGAAGTTTAGTCAGGTTTTAACATAGGTCAGGTTAGTTTACATTTTTTCTGGATAAAATTAATGTAAACTTACATTCATGGTGGGCATCTATCTTAATGAACTGCCACAATCTCGAATCTACAATGTATTATTGAACAATGTAAAAGGTAATAAATGATTCCGTCTTGTTTGGTGAAGTTATGGCTTATTGCTATTGCAATACATTATTAATAAATGAGAAAACTCTGATTTTCGAGTTGAAAGCTGAAGCCTGATAGACTTTTCAGGATAAAAGGACAGAAACTATTTATGTTTGTTATTAAGATTTTTATGATTGACGTTTTTGATAAAATCGCTTGCATTGAAGCTTCGGTTGAATTGTGTTCATTTGTAAAACCATGGTTTATTTTTTACTCATTTTGTAAATAGTCAGTTCATTAATAATACAATTATTTTAAATATGAATCATTACATTGTGCTCAATAATGTGGCTCAATAAAAAGTTAGAGATCAACTGATTCAGTCGGTTTATTCTGATGATACATTTACATTGAAGTTACAAGATAATCTGGCGAAACAGAAAAACTGAGAATACAAAAAATGTACTTGGTATTTGGGTTAAACCCAAACTTTTTAGAGTTATTCCACTCTTTGTATACTCAGAAGGACCATCAATTGTTATTTTCAGATCATAAATGCGATTTCTGGTATCATAATCTTCAGCAAATCCTTTGATTACAATAGGAATCGCCCAAGTGAATACTCCCGAAGACCAAGAATATTTATACAAAAGTTGAGAGTTGATCGGTAACAGCCTAACATATTTCCTTTTTAAATCGACAGATAACACTGGATTCTGTACAAACCAATAAGAAGAAAGTTCACTCGTATCTGGTGCCGTTAAAAACACACCTACAACAAAAGGGTTAAAGGAGGAAATATTGACCAATTGTAGGGTAAACTCATTGGCATTGTCTGATTGTCTCACAAATAGTTGAACTTTGTCATTGCCATAAACAGTGTTACAGCACTTTAAAAAATTCAACTGATAAATTGGTAGATCTTTGGTGTTTTCGGCAACCAAAAATCTGAGATCATCATCAGCTAAATACAATCGTATTTCGTGATCAGAGTCAATCTCCAAATCCAATGGACTGCCATCTGATCTTTTCGGCCAAGAAGAAAATGTTCTAGACATTGTCCAGAAACAGTATAAAGTGTTGTCTCGATACAAAGATGAACCAGTGGAAAATTGGCTAAATGAATTTGTGTAATACGAACCAGTTGCACCTGATGAGTTTCGTTCGCATGAATAAGAGTTGATCCCAGGATTACCGTCAATCACAACAGAAATATGTTCATATTTATTATCTGTTATTTATTATTATCCGATCTTTTCGGCCAAGAATAAGATGATCGGCACATTGTCCAGAAACAGTATAAAGTGTTGTCTCGATACAAAGATGAACCTGCAGTATGTTGGACAAATGAACGTGCGTAATATGAGGCAATGTAACCTGATGAGTTCCGTTCACATGAATATACATTGGCCCCAGGATTACCATCGATTGCAACAGCAACTTTTTGATATTCACCCTCTCTGATGTTATATGCAGTAAGAATTATTGTAAAATAGTTGATTCCATCGTCTTGTTTCGCAGTGAATGTAACACTAGCTAAATCTTGGTAATTATAAGTTTTGGTTAAACAGGAACCATTGCAAGTATCTTTCGATTGGTAACTGTTTGTGATTAAATACACAAATAGAAATAGTATTTGAAAAAACGAAGAAATCATTTTAATTTAAGATTTTGAATTGAACCCAATGAATTGACGTTCACAATTGATTATAAACAAATGGAAGTAACCTGTTAATTGAAATCAATATGCGTTAAAGAGCAATAAATAATGCATTAACCAAGTGCTAATCGAGCCATCTACTTGTTCTTGTGTATTTTACTAATGAACACTTTTTTTTCGAAATAAATTGATTACTTGAGAGAACGAAATTTGGCAAAAAGCTATCAATTTATCAACAAAGATCAAAGATAAAACGCTAAGGATTTTTTGCACCATAGGTTGTCAAGTTGTTGATTATTCCGTTTTTAATAACTCATTAATTCAACATTTACGCATTCAATGTAACAATAATGTAATCTTATGCTCTATCAAACAGATGATTGTTGATGAAAGTAACCTAAATAACGTTTAAATATAGTTATTTACTCTATCAAGCCTTGGATCTAATATTAAACTACTTCGAAAGATTTTTAGGGAAAAGTTTTCTGTTGAATAGCCATGTAAAATCTATGAAATCTATTGCTGTCAAAGTTTTTTGTAAAAGTCAAGTCCGAAATGTAGTCAGAGCTTATTCAGGTTTCAAGTTAGAGAGAAATTCACGTTTGAACAGGGTTGGTAAAATACAGAATTTCGTAGCATTGTGTTTGGAGGAAAACCTTTTTTTGTATCCAGGTTGATACTTTATTAGGAGTTATGTAGAGTTGTTTTTGCTAGTAAAAGTTTGGTGAAAAATGCGGTGTCTGAACTGGTCAAAAAAGACCAAATTTTGTCAATGGTTGTCCATTAGAAAATTTTTTAAACAAATAAATGGCATTAATTATCAAAACATGTACACATTAATGTAAGCCTTATATGCCTCTACATTTTGCAAAGGCTCAACTCACAACTCCCAGTTTTTAAAGTATGCTTAATAAAAGGTTTTTTTTGAATATTTTAAATGCGATATAAGGTAAAGATTTCAATTTTGAATTTCGCATTCTATCGATGGTTTTTTTATTATGATTGCGTGTTTTTTCTATGTCGATGCACTGTATCCTATTCAGCCAAAAAAACATTTACGATCAGTCATTTTCGCTGCAAAGATGGGGCTAAAAAATTGTGCGACCAATGACCATGATTTTACTACAGCGACTGAAATAGGTTGAGTTTACTAAGAATTCAGGTTTCTAAGAAACCCATTTTCTAACATTCTCTTGTTAACAGAGTGATGGATTCCGTTTACCAATGGAATAGGGAAAATGACTTTTGTTTGATGACTTATGGTTTATTGCTGGACTATTTATAAGTGCGGAAACTCTGACTTTTGAGTTGAGAGCTGAGACCTGATTGTCTAACCTATTTGTACAATTAGAAGATTTCGATGATTTTTGATAAAATGTTACACAAATTTCAAGCTTAGATTGTATTGAGTTCAGTTTTAGACCATATTTTATTTTTTTCTCCTTTTTCGATGGTTAGTCCATTGCTGATTTAAGTCTTTTAAATATGGTTTTAATGCAACGAAAGTTAGATATCAGTCATGATTTTTATAATAATACATTTAAATTGAAGTTAGTAGATGATCTGATGAAACACAAATACTGAGAACACAAAAAAAGTACTTGGTATTTGGGTTAAACCTAAACTTTTCAGTGTTATGCCGCTCTTTTTATACACAGAATCATCATCCAGTGTTATTTTCAGATCATAAACTCGTTCTCTGGTATCATAATCTTCTGAAAACCCTTTAATCACAATCGGAATCGCCCAAGTAAATATTCCCCCAGACCAAGAATGTTTATATAAAACTTGAAAATTAATTGGTGTCAATCCAATATACTTCAGTTTCAAAGTGACGAATAACATTGCATTTTGTACAATCCAGGTAAAAGTTAATTCACTCTCATCTGATGCTTTCAACTCCAAAAATGCAAAATTAGCCATAGAGGAGGAAATATTGGCCAATTGAAGTGTGAACTCATTGGCGTTGTCTGTTTGTCTAACAAATAGTTGAACCTCATCGTTACCATAAACTGCATGACAGCATTTTAGGAAATTCATCTGATAAATGGGTAGATCATTGGTGTTTTTGGTTACCAAATAACTGGTATCATCATCGGCTAAAAATATTTTATGATCAAAGTCAATCTCCAAATCCAATGAGCTGCCATCCGATCTTTTCGGCCAAGAATAAGATGATCGGCACATTGTCCAGAAACAGTATAAAGTGTTGTCTCGATACAAAGATGAACCTGCAGTATGTTGGTCAAATGAACGTGCGTAATATGAGGCAATGTAACCTGATGAGTTCCGTTCACATGAATATACATTGGCCCCAGGATTACCATCGATTGCAACAGCAACTTTTTGATATTCACCCTCTCTGATGTTATATCCAGTAAGAATTATCGAGAAATAGTTGATTCCATCGGTTTGTTGCGAAGTGAATGTAACACTAGCTAAATCTTGGTAATTATAAGTTTTGGTTAAACAAGAACCATTGCAAGTATCTTTAGCTTGACAACTGTCTGTAATTAAATGTACAATTAGCAATAATAGTTGAACAAACGAAGAAATCATTTTACTTAAAGTTTCCAACTGAACAATGAAAATGCGAATGAAAAGACGTTCGCAATTGTTTAGAAACTAATGAAAGTTTCCTGTTAAATGAAACCATAAGAGCAATTTAATAATGCATTAACCATGTGCTAAAATATCAACTAATCGAGCAATTGCTTGTTCTTGGGAATTTTCATCAATGAACTTTGTTCGCGAAAATTGTTTACTAAATGACGAAATTAAGCAAAAAGCTTTTGATTTATCAATAAATTTGATCAAACGATTAAACGATCTATATCGCCAACACGCTCAAATGTAAGTCAATGTAAATTTCAATTCATATTATTCATATAATGTATTTTAATGAAAATAATTTCAAATGTGTTAATAGGATTTCAGAGGAAATATTAACCAAAACAATCCTTTTTTGCATTATAATACTCTTGGTGAATTTTAGAGATGGCTAACATTATCCTTGCCTTTAAGTTGGCAGAAATTGAAGAAACCATTGATTCAGTTATCTTTCCAATTGTCTCACCAAGATCAATCATGAATAATTCAGGATAAAATGTAGTCGTTAAAATATCAAAGTAAATAATTAAAGTCAGTTGAATCTAATGATTAAATACATCATAAAAGTGTCTTCTCACTTCCAAATGAGATTTACAGTGAAAGTTATTATAAATTAAAAAGCGCTATTCTAATGTGGAATAAATAGTTGACTTCAGAATAGAACAAATTCGCGTCAAAACGCATCTCTTTTCAAATGGTTAAAGTCATTTTCACCGCAAATCAGTTTAATTCAGTGTTAATTACATTCTTTTTTCTATTGTTTATATTGATTTAATTTATTATTTTCCAGACACATCCATCATTTACTCAAATATTTTGATTGTGTCTTTAATTGTGTTATTTTTTGGTTTAATTTGGCCAGAGCCGGGAAAAAAGGTGACAAATGGCAAGTCAAGAGGTAAGTGTTTAATAAGCCTTTTTCACCTAAAAACTGGTACTAAGTTGAACATAATTCTAATCATTATATTGATTTATTGTTTTTTTTATTTGATAAGTCACTGGATGAAAATGATTATTCATCAATTCAAGCAATTTTGAGTCTTGCTGAAAAAATGGCGAGAAAAAAAGACTTAAAGGTCAAGAAAAGACGCGTTAAAAAATTCGGTTGGACTAGAAAGAAAAGATCAAGAGCTGTGAGAGCAAGAAAAGCAATTGAATTTCATGTTGAACCTCAGTATCAAGAATCTGCATGTCCTGAAATAATTCAGCCGAATACGTCCGAAGAAGAAGAAAGAGAAGAAATTAAAGGTTTTAAAGTTTATTTATTTGACAAAAATTTTGGTCGAAAAATACCAAGGAAGAAGAAAAATGTATTTCGAAATTGAAAATAATAATTTGGATGAATTAGTAATTCGTCTATGATTGTTAATAAATTCAGTTGATAATTCATTATGAAGTTGACTGTACGTCAATATATCGATGGTTAAATCGATTCATCGTATGAGAGAAACGATTAAAAAAAGTACAGTAATTCCCTGAGTTTTTTGTTTTGTTGCACCCATACGATGAATCGATCCAACCATGGGTATATAGACGTACAGTCATCTTCATAATGAATCCTCACCTGAATTTCTCACCAGTGGTAGACGAGTTACAAATTGATCATGTTATTATTTTGAATTCCGAAATACATTTTTCGTCTTCATTGG